CATTTTGGATTGATATGATGTATAGTATACTTCTCACAAGTCACAATCAATGTATTGTAGGAGTAATTTCGTTAAATAATTATTGACTTTAAATCGACTATTGGAGCATGGAGTATATAATATCACAAGTGAATAAAATCAAATACCAAATTAATTTTTGTTGTCGTCTAAATAAGAAGGTGACATTTTAAGCTAATTGTCTAAAGGTACCACAAAATAAATAAATATAGATATTTTCTTATATTCGCCATCATATTTGATAATTTTCTCACTCAATTGGAATTTGGATAAGATCGGGGTCACACGTCAGTGGAATGAAACAATTCTAATTTATTTGTCTCTTAAATCATTGGGTATCAAACTTTTTTCATTGATAATAATTCGATTCTAATGATTCGTTCTTTGTCCTTTTTCTGATTGGTAGATCATAATTTCCTAAAAGAACAAATAAATAAAATTGTAAAAAAATATATATCTGCCAGCAAAAGGGCAGCAATTGCCAGGTGGATTTGGTTTAGAAATAAGAAGTGGAGGCCCATGTGGGGAGGTAGGGAAATGGCCCAACATCTCCATCAAAACAATATGTTAAGGGCAATTTTTCTAGTCCTTGTCCCATTCTTCAAATTATTGGGTGTATTGAGTTATGTAACATGTTGCATTATTCATTGTTTTAGCAATAAATAAATAAATGAGTACCCATGTTCATAAATGATAATAGACATTAATTAAGTAAAAAATGAGAGATTTAACTTATGCTCATGTTATGACTAATAGTTAGATAGTCATGTTTTTTTAGTTGATTTAAATACTTTTATATTTGAATGTCATATAATGTGAATAAAAGTGTGACATATCAAAATTACAAAAATTATCCAGTATATATACGGTAATAAAAATAGCCACTAACTTCTTGTAAATCTACTAGATACTCATTAACTAATAAAATCACACAGTTATAACTTCTTTAGAATCACGGATGAATTTTATTTGGGTGAAAAATTAAAAAAAAAAAAAGTTCGATAACTTCTTGAACCTTTTATTTGTTTTGTCAATTTTGAAATCTCTGGTCATCGATGTCTTGATGCGTGTTTATTTCCAGCATCTCAACATATTCTTGGTCAGAAGCCCTCACTAATTTCTTAGTTCGTTTCCATCATATGTTACAATCAAGAACTCGAATTCCCATCTTGTTCAAATGTTATTTACTGCCGCATTAGTTTTGTTTCGACTTATTTGAGCATGCTTGAATTTCTCGCTTTGAGGCTCATCTTTGAGCCATAAATTTTGCTAATTCCACATTCATTTTCATCTCGGTTCATTTTAGAAACCCTTAAGTGGCTCGAGGCAACTTGATTCATGTTTCATAAGATGACTATATATTTGTCGTTGTATTTTTGGTGATTCTGCCTACATTTGAATAGTAATTGCATGTTTTTAGTAGTTACAGAGTATTTAGTGCATTTTTCAAGTCAGTGGTTACTTTTATCACCATTTAAAAGATACTGACTATGTTTTGAAATTTTTTGTGTTGAGCTGGAAAAATTTTGCCACGTCTGCATCCTGATAAGCCTTGTCGGGTTGACTATGCAATTATCAACCGTTTGGCCGAATTTTAAGAGATATTCGGTATTTTTTGAATTTAGTAGTGTTGGTGGCTATATTTTGCAATTTAGCTTAGATAGTAACATTTGTAGTGATCATAGGTGTTAGTGTTAGACTCTCTAATCGTTTGACAGTAATATACTTTAAGAAAAAACTTGAACAAAAGGTATGACGTTGTATAGTAGAAATATGCAATTTTATGTATAAAAGATATGCATGTCCTACATCCTAACAAAAAGTTTTCAATTGAGTTTGATACTTTTATATTGAATTTCATATTTTAAGAAATATTTTGAAAAAAATATGATGTTAGAAAAAGTTTGCATGTTTGACATCCAGCAACATTTCATTTATTTTTGTTATCAAATGAATCATATTTATGAACATTAGTCATTGGGGGAGGAATGGACCTTGAGAACCAAACATTTTTTTTGCTAAGAGTTTTAAAAAACGAAAGTATAAAGATGAAAATGAATAAGCCAATTATGTACGACATTAAGAGCAGAAAACTTCATGGGTATATATGGCGATCACGTGCATCTTTCCCATTTTGGATACTGAAGGTGACATTATATGGCCAACGGTACATTTCAATTTACATTCAGGGAAATTTATTTTCAATTACAAATTTTACAATTGGTGGCCTCTAAATATTATTTAGCATTATATATATTTAAGGGAATTTATTTTCAATTACGTTTGGTAGCATCTAAACATAATTAGCGTGACATTATTGGATGACAATTTCAGCAAAATAGTAATTAATACATTGTAATTTGTAAATGTATCAAAGCTTTTCTTTCCTATTCTCTGGAAAAAAAATAAAACACTAATGGCAAAGGTTTTTTTTTATGCATTCATAAATGGCAAAGGTTTTACAAATAGGTCTACAAGTCTACAACTAAGACTCTGAGTTAGGGTTGCAAACAAATTGGGTTGAATATTTGAATTTGATTAAAAATGTTTTTTAGAATTGAGTTACTAGGGAATACAAATATGGATTTTAACATATTCGGTTCATATAATATTCGAATATTTGATTTGTTTATTATATTATCTTAATTTATAGTACTAATCAATACATATATATATATATTCATAATATACAAATATATTTAAAAAATTCTAGCTAATCATTAGTTTTGTGTATATATAATGTTTTAATTTCAGAATAATCATTTTAGTAAAATATATAAAATTAATTATCAAATTCATTAATTTGAATTCATTTTGCAGAATAAATACAATTATTTTTTAATACCATTAAAATATCAAATTCGAACTCACATTTATATTCAATGTGAAAACGAATACGTATCCGAATACTTTGATTTGTCAAATTTGAAAAATATTAAAATAGTCGATTCAATTTTTTTTACAATCCTAAAATGAGCAAAATTGGGACTTTTTATTATCATTAGGCATTTTGAGCTTATATCAATGGCCTCACTTTTTGCTGATCAAATAACAATCAAAACAACACAATATTAAGTACAGGAAAACGATACTTTCATAATTTCCATCAGCATAAATGTACAAATTCATCATCTAATTCATTATTTCAACTAAAGTAAATCAATTCTGTACCATAACAACAAAACAAATTATTTCACAGGGAATTTCAAACTTTGTCATTTGCACGATTGGGTTTAGATGATTGGGCTGTGGGCATGAACATATTGGGCCTTGATACGCTTCAACGGAAAAAGGGCCCTATTTGGTCACTTTATTTCATACGAATTTATTCCACTTAAGATACAATAAGAGCTATGATATTGGAATATTCATTAAAATTCTATTGGTATGTATGTCGTTGAACAGTTTTGCTATGGAGCCATGAGATGACTCGACTTATGGAGTCATCCACACTTATTCACCAATATTGTATTGACACGTGTCCTGCAATAAATACAAATTGGACATGTGTCAATACATTATGTAGTGGATGTCTTCATAAGAAAACCATCTGATGACTCCATAGAATTTTTGTGTCGTTGAAATATGATGATTTTCATCTGCTTAGTTTATTTGATATTGTTGTAGAAAAAATACTAAAGTTAGGGTTATACAAACGAGCCAATCTGCATGCACAACGTGAAACAAGTCAGCAACAATTCGGTAATGTTAATCTGAAATTGCAAATACATGTGTGTTTGATGAACTTATAAATGAGTAATTAAAAACTAGAATTTGATAATGTGAGAATTTTATCGAACTTAATGTGAAGCATAAATTGTAATAATCCTTATTTAATTAATGTAATCTAGATTAATATGCTTCCTCTTTTCTTCCAACTAAAAACCACCAAACGTGTTGTCAATTGGCCTAACTAGTCAAAGAAATTGAACAATGAATATTGACCCAGTTAATATAGACCTGAAACGTTTATTTTTTTCAATACTAAAACATAATTAAATGTTTAAAGTTGACATATAGAAATAAGAAAACGTTATACTCCAGTTAATAAAAGTTGAAAATCTGCAAATATTCCCTTAATATAGTCCTGTCAACTTTTGAAAACATGAAATTAAATTCGAGAAAATATTTTGGCATTATCTTGAATTTGACTTTTTCGAAAGACTTTTGGCATGCGCAAGCTCCTGATTTTGCCTAATATGAATCCACAGGTATGCTTATGGCCTTACTGTTTCTCTCAAGATTTTGGTCCAGCTTTGTTTTTCAGGTGCTTTTTTTTTTCTCATCCATCATGAGCTTTTTTATTTCTCTAATTTCTGCCTTATGTTTAGTTTGATTTTTCATTTAATCATATGTTTATATGTGTTTGACTGCTATAATTCGCCCGACCATATCAGTCATTTAGAAATTTGCTTCTGTTAGTGCTCGATCAAAGTTCTTGTTATTTTGGTAGCATTGCAAACTTTTGGTATTATTTTTATTTTGTTTTATTTATTTAAATAAATTTCACATTCCCATATAGAAATTTACATAAATTATAGCCATCGTTGTTTCTTTTCTTATTCCACATAAATTTTTCATATTTGCAGGCAAATATTGACCATTCGTTTCATGTAACTATATTGAAAGGCAACCATTGGGATAAAAAAAAAAATGACCTGTCTTTCTTTCTTATGTTGTGAAAGATCAACTTCGAAACACCCTGAGCTTGGTAATATTGCACATCTAATTTCTATCTCTTTATCTCATTTTGTGCTTTGAATGAGCTTTTTAATGATCTTAACAAAGACTGAACCTTTAATACACAGAACTCTCAGGAGTCACCAATGTTAACCTTTACTCGTATAAGGAGCTGAAAACCGCCACCAATTATTTCAGTCCGGCGAATAAAATTGGCCAGGGAGGATTCGGCTCCGTTTTTAAGGTAAAAAAGAGACAACCGAAAGAGAAATATATCCTTGTGCATAAATACTTCAAATGACTTTTGTCCTTAGAGATTTGAAGGTGACATTACTCTTGACGAGTAGGGCAAGCTTAGGAATGGCCGGATGGCCGCTGTTAAGGTCCTCTCGTCCGTGTCAAAACAAGGCTTACAAGAGTTCTTGACCGAAATTCAAGTGATTTCGGATGTCAATCACGAGAATCTAGTGAAGCTTTACGGTTGTTGCGTGGAAGGCAACCAAAGAATCCTCGTCTACAACTATCTCGAGAATAGTAGCCTAGCCGATAAACTCATCGGTAATAACTAATATGCAGCTTATACTTATAAATTCGGGGCGAAAAAAAAAAAAACAACAACAGATATAATGTGAAGCAATGGTTAGTTAAAGTTATGTGAGTGGATGAATGATGAATTAAAGTTGATGTGACGTGTAACGCTGATTCTAATCGTCTTTTGCAGGTGTACAAAATAGCACCAGAGTTCGGTTTAACTGGCAAACGCGCGCTAAAATCTGCATCGAGATCGCGAGGGGACTCGCGTACCTTCACGAGGAAGTGAGACCACACATCATCCACCGAGACATTAAAGCCAGCAATATTCTTCTCGACCGGGATTTGAACCCTAAGATCTCGGATTTCGGCCTTGCCAAGCTCATACAACCCAACATGAGTCATATAAGCACACGTGTGACCGGGACAATGTGAGTCGTGAAAAAGAGATCCGATTTTTTCGGTTTTTATGCCTTGAAAGCACTATAGCATGTAAAATATGCCAATCATCGGTACAAATTTGAAATCTTAACCGATTTGCTTGCAGAGGTTACGTGGCTCCGGAATATGCACTGAAAGGCCAAGTGACACGTAAAGCGGATATTTACAGCTATGGAATCCTTCTTCTCGAAATTGTCAGCGGAAGGCGCAACACTAACATGCGCTTACCGCCTGGCGAGCAATCAATTCTTGAACTGGTAACGCACGAAACACGGTTTAATTTTAACACATCCTCTAATCTTTTGCAAGAGTACTTTTCAATTTATTTATTTATTATTATTATTGCAGACATGGAATCTTTACGAGAAAAACGACTTACATTCGATGGTGGACCAGTCGTTGAATGGTGATTTCGACCTAGAACAGGCTCGTACATTCTTGAAAATCGGGCTCCTCTGCACTCAGGACGCCGCCAAGCTCCGGCCCGCCATGTCAGCAGTTGTCCAAATGCTCGGCGGCCAGAAAGATGTTGACGAGAATGCGATAACGAAGCCGAGCTCCGTTTCGGACTTTGGGGACATTAGCAAAACATCCTCGAGTTATCACTCGTCCGGTTCATATACTATGGTCAACAGTACGTTGACTTTGCCGCCCTCTGAGGGTACCATAACGTTTTCTCCTCGATAGAATGGTGGGGCCCCATTTTTTTATTTTTTTTTTTTTAATTTTTATGTTTTGGTAGAATAGATATATATGTTTTTACTTTTTACTAATACAATATAATGATATATAACTACTGCAAAGATAGATTTCTGTAATTTCCGAAGTCTTCAAGTGCTTAGGGCTTAACGCCTTAACCCCGTCCGTTTCCTTTTGGAAAGCTGTCTTGAAATTTCTTTCTCAAGTTCATAGTTCTGCTTCCTTCTGTCTAGTTGTGTTTGTGTACAAATTTGATACTAAAGAGAAATCAAGACATTGACAAGGAGCAAATTAACAAGCATTTTCACAAGGAGCAAATTAACAAACATCTAAAAGGAGCAAATTAACAAGCAAATATTGATTGTTACATCCAAAAGGAGCAAGTTGCAAGATATCATGACATTGATTGGGCATTTACCAAGCAAAAACTGTACCGCCAAAAGGAGCAAATTCACAAGTATTTCCACAAGGTGTCTCCTAATAATTTCAAGAGAGCTCTCTTCTCAAATTCCAGTACAAGAACCCTAGTGTAAGAAAAAGGAGATTCAGTAACATTGAATCAAAACCTGCTGTCATTCCATTATATTAAAAGGATAGAATTTTACATTTGGACCTCCTTGCATAAAAATTGTTATTACAGATAATTGGGGCTATCTGTATGCTCTTCAGTAGTAATTTTATAAGTAATCCCCAAATTCTACAAAGCAAACGCGCAAAATCAGTGCTCAGAAACAATTACACAGACAAGCCGCTTGATTACACCATGAGAAGCTCAACATTTTGTCAAGAAAGGGCAAAATTACTCCAAAACGAGAGAGCTTACAGAGAGATCGAGCGAGGGGATAGTTGCTAGGCCATGAAAGACCATTGAACGCAAGAACCTAAGACGCACATAGAAGCGTGTTACCGGAAAAAATACGCCGGCGGCGCCGATTGCCGGCCAATCGACGGCGGTCTATGCTCGGGGCTGTTGTTGCAAAACATGCCGGAAGCTGATAGAGAAGGGACTTCGTCTGAAATGGGGGCAGAATCGGTTGTGATTTGCTCTGTGTGAGTGAAAAATATAAAAATAAAAATAAAAAATCGTGCAATTAGATTGTGTGTGATATGTGTTCTTTTTCTATTTTATTGTTTATTCTACATTATTTTATTATTTTATTTTATTTTATACGAAACGGTAGATATTCTACATTATCTACAAATATTACTTAATAATATTATCCATATTAATATCTCCCCTATTTACTAACGCAGAAATGTCTCCCTCCCAGGTGTTGGTATTTGTAAATGTTACTATGTATTCTATCCATACTTACAAGGAATTTTATAATTATAAAATATTTTATTAACTTAAATAATAAATATACTTAATTTTTATATTTATTATCAGTTTTTTTATATATAGTATATCAAATTAGTCATATTTTGACGAGCTTCGATTTAATATCCCAATCACATATATAAAATAAATAAATAATTTTATTTTTATTTATTATAAAATTTAATCATCTATTAATACTAATTAAAAATTTAATAAAATTATATATCAATTAAAAATATTGTCTATAAATTCATTACCTATAATATAAAAGAACTATTATTTATATAGTATAAGCAAATAGTACAACTAAGAGGTTAAATTTTTAATGTAAATAATAATGCAATCTTTAAAAAGTATTTAAAATTAAAATAAAAGAAATTTCTCTCTTACTTTTTTTTAAGAATTTCAGTATAATTATTTTTAATAAAATTATATATCACTTAAAAGTTTAAATCAATGGGCCATTTTGGTAAAGTTCAAAATGTCTCATTTTAATTGCTTATGATGAACCTAATCCCTTAATCACATCTAAAAAAAAAATCAATGGGCCATTTTGAAAGGTATGGTGTCCAGTCTACAACCGGATCAATTAACATAGTCAAATCCCGTATGATAATACCTTTAATCACTACTTGCAAAGACCATATTCTATAATCATTTATATGTTGATTTTAATTGTGTTTTATTGAATAATGCCAATGAAATAAAGACTGTAAAATGTCCCGTAAATCACTCTGAATAAACCAAAAGTGATGAGCAAATGCCATGTGATACAATAAGATGCCCACATCCCTTTATATCACTTTGCTTTTCTTTTTTTTTTTTTCCTTACAAATNTTAATATTTGTTCTTATTATATTTGTTCTTACAAATACTCAAGATTTAATGGCTCATTGTCTTGTAAAAAAAAAAGTATCTAAGAACCCCAATTGTAATTTGTAAGTGTTGAGAGTCGAGTCCACCAGATAACTCAAATGTTGAGTTGCGAGTGACCCCGCTTAAGCTTATGAAAACTCAGTTCGACTATTTCAATTAAAATTTATGACATAAAAGTAAAAATGAGTTGTTTGTGAATAAGCTCAACTCTACTCTTTCAATAAATAAACTTAATTAGTTGTTAACTTAATTATTTAAATGAAAACTAAATGGAATTATGTTAGTGAATCATTCAATTCTTTTAATAGATGATCTCCCATTGTACTTGATTTTAACAACTGCCCTTTGGAATGTGTTTAGTGGCCTAAGTGTCTTAGGGTCTGATTGGATAAAAATTAGTCTGGATGTAATTAAATTTATTGGAAAATTGAGTTGATTTCGAAAAAAATTGATTGAGTTTGCTTTGTGCTGGATTTATAGATTCAGACGAATAAAGTGCGTCCCATAAAGATGAACACGCTATAAAGAGGCGAGTCTAGATGCACCTTATTGGAGTTTCATTTCAAAACTTGTTGGTAATGAGAGTAGTCCACTAGGTTTATAAATTAGGCTCATTTATCATATAGAATAAATGTGAAACATCTCACAAGTGATATTTCACAATTTGAATAGGATTTTAAGTTTGTATTTAAATAGTATTTAAAATATAATGAGTAAAGATGATGTGATATAAAAGTTTATCCCATTGCCATATAGAATCATTATGAAACAACTAACAAGTGATGTTTCAACAGTTTGAATGGAACTTTAAGTTTGTATTTAAATAATGTTTAAAATACAATGATTAAATTTGATGTGATATAAAAGATAGGTCCATTTACCTTATAGAATCAATATGAAACAACTCGCAAGTGATAATTCAACTGTTTGAATGAGATTTTGAATTTGTATTTAAATAATATTTAAAATATAATAATTAAAGTTGATTTTGATATAAAAGTATGATAGATATGGTTGAAAGTGATACAATTAAAATTACGAGTTGGATGAACAAAAATTATATGATATATGAGAATGATTTATTGATGTTATAGGTCAGAGTTCGAGTCACCCAAGAGATAAGTGAGGAACCACTATTGATTCTCTTTTTAAAAAGAAAAAAAAAATTATAATGAGTTTTAAAATAATAAAATAATTATATAGTCACTTTATACTTGAATATTTTATATCCAATTTTGCCATTAAAAGAGTAAAAGACCAATAAGACCTTTTTCAATTGTCTGGACTGGGCTTTAAAATTAAAGATATTTCTATTCCGTTCTTTATAGTTTTTGTGGGGGCCTTGTGAGTTGTGACTGGGTCTTTGGAGACATTATAATGGCATTGCATTATTAGAAGGAACTAGTGTGTATCCCGTGCGATGCACGGGAATAATATTAAATTAACAATATTATAAATAGATCTCGAGTTTGAGTCACTGACGAAAGTGGAAACTACTATTGATCCTATTTAAAAAGAGAAAGAAAAAAAATAATTATAAAATAAAGAGGAGGATAAACAATACTTAATAATTATAAATTAAAGATTCGGGGTCAAACAATGTAAAACTATTTTGTATAAGAAAATATGAAATTTACATTATTTTGTATAAGAAAATATAAAATTTGCATGTTTAATATTAAAAACACCTAAAATATTATATTAGTATATATGTAAAAATATTCAAAAATTTTTATATTATTTTTGAAAGATGTGAAGTCATCTACAACTTTTCTAAACAATTTTAGAAGGAAAAATATCTAAGAACATTTGAATTTAACATTGTGTAAAAAAGATTTTTCTAGACTATTTTGTAAAGAAAATATGTCTATATTTAAATTTAATATGTGTATATGTACATATATATATGTATATGTGTATGTTTTGTATAGTTTTTTAGAGATAATAATTCAACACGTGTATTTGTTTTAGGAAATGAATAACAAACTTAATATCAGTTTTGAATAATGATAAGGTGTATGAAATATCTTCTCCTTATAATAAGATTTTGTTTTTAATCTTAAAAAATTATCCCATATATCTTCTCTTTATAATACGATTTTTTTTCTTCAATTTATTGTTAAAACAATATGATTAGAAGGGTTACCATAAAAAAATATGTGATAAGATTTTGTTTTTAATCTTAAAAAATTATCCCATATATCTTCTCTTTATAATACGATTTTTTTTCTTCAATTTATTGTTAAAACAATATGATTAGAAGGGTTACCATAAAAAAATATGTGATAAGGATGCTCGTGTGAAATGGGATTATTTCGTTACCATAAAAAATTATCGTTAAAAAAATATGTTTAGAAGGGTTACCATAAAAAAATATGTGATAAGGATGCTCGTGTGAAATGGGATTATTTCGTTACCATAAAAATTATGCGATAAGGACGGCGTGCGCGAGGCGTGTGAATTGGGTATGCGATAAGGACGGCGTGCGCGAGGCGTGTGAATTGGGGTTATTTCATGAGAATTAAATCGGTATAATTAATGAGTTTAAAAGGCATGTGAAAAGGACATAAATGCTGAGCGTGTGAAATGGACATAAGAGTTACCGATTTTGGAAAGTAATAAATGCAAAACTGACTTTGACCATTAATTAAGTTACTAATTTTGATAAATGTTAATTCTTATTATATAAGTATAGATTTAAATGCTGGTTAGCGGTTAGTGACATGACATTCACATATGGGAAATTGAAGCGTTAATTTAGTGAAAATAGGGTTTCTTTTTATTTTTTCCTTAGATAGTAATAATAA